CATATCACATGAATCTGATTTAGATTATTATGCAGAGGCTAAAGCAAACATGAAGTTGATTTGGGCTCTTATGTGGAGCCTAGATATGACACCATTGATTGCCTACATATGACATGAACGTGATTCAGGCTGTTATGCAGAGCCTCAATCAAACATGAAATGAGGCTCTTATGTAGAGCCTAGCTATGACACCAAATTGATTCCAGGTGTTACGCAGAGCCTAATATTGTATGGAGTTGATTTAGGCTCCGACGGAGAGACTAAATATATAATTGTCTTTTCAAGCATTGAAGCAGATACTGCATCAGAACAGCAGTTCAGGATCGCAGCGGCTGAGACTCAAAGCAGCAGTTCAGGAACAAAGTGGTTGGGCATCGAAGCAGCACTTCACGATCAAAGCGGTTGGGCCTTTCCATAGACACATCTCTTCAATGGCGGTGGCTCGGGCTTCTGTTCCATGTGTGCAGCCGGCGGCTCCTCTTCCAACCTGCCAAAATGAAAATTACTCTAGGTTAAGCAAACAAAGACCAACTCTTCAGAGCAATGTGTTGTGAGGCATGACAGGTGCCTCTCCATGTTCGGCACCTTCAGCTCCCCCTGTTGGAACTGCTTTGCCAACTCGGACAACCAGAAGCTTGTGAACCATTCTTGGTGATCGCTGTCCGCGAAGATTGGCAAGTAGTGAGCCGGCACATTGAGGCTTTGGGAGGCACTGATGAACCCTTCCAAGAAGTTGCCGACGTATGGAGTCGTATCCACGACCACCAAGCCGGTCGTCGTTCCAAGATTGGTGCCATCCTCGCATGCAAGCCGAAACATGCCAACCCGACTTAGTATCGAGGGGTCGATACTCTGCATGTGCACCGATCTATAGCATGCGAGTTGCAATTGCAGCTTGAAGCAGCTTGGCAGCTCCGTCCCCGCCAAGCTGTGCATACTTACCTGCCCCTTTGATGTTGCCCACAGATGTGTCCGGCAGCGCATTCGGGCTTGTGCTTTCGATTGCTATCATACTCCTGGACGGGACCTGCTTGGCCTCCATCTTGGTCCGGCGGTTTCGGACCAGGAAAGAGTCCTTCCAGAGCCAGTGGGATTCAAGAGCACTCTCTTCCTTCAAGCTTCCACCCGGAGGATTCAAGATCTTGCCCTGATACGCCATGGGCCGCTGATCACGGTGGTCCTCGCAAGACACAGGAGTCAAAATCCGTCAGAAAGCAAGAAGTTTCAAAACAGGATGCTGACAAAGAATCTGCCATCAAGGTTCTGTCTTGCTTGCGACATCGAACAGAAGCTGAAATCCCGAATCCACCTGAAGCCCCGAGTTGCTCAAGGTTTTGAGCAACGAGTACTCTTCGTTGAACAACCTTGATTGCAGCGGGCAGCATGCCAATGGAAGAAGGCACCAGGAATCACGCATGAACCGGTTAAAGGCATCATCGGTAAGTCCTAGCAGCTGACCGGGCTTGTAGCTGAAGCATGGGGACAGCATCAAACCCATGGCTTGGCTGGAATGCTGAGGAGTCGTAATCCAGGTTGACATGAGCTTCAGGGTCGCCAGCGACACGTCCGCTTTGATCAACGAGGGGGCCGTGTAGTTGGCCACGAAGAGCACAGCCTCGGCTACATTTACCAGGCACATTCCCCCGGGCACCCGGGCACTGGACTTAGTAAGACCAAGGGCCGACCGGCGAAGCTTCACACCTCCAAGCCAGGTCTCCACATCCTTTTCCACGCATGCCAACATCTCGAGGCCGGTGGCCAGATCGAACTTGTCCGGCCAGCATTCAGAAGAAACCTTGGCTACAAAACTCAAATCTGAGGCAGTTGGTTGGATGCAGACTACACACAAGTCGGAAAGCAACCCTAAACCCTAGACCTATATATTAAAGCTTAAACAAACTCTGTAAGTCTCAAATCCTAAA